TGGTGATGTTTTTGTAACCAGAAACACGCCATCAGAACTTAACTTTTGTTTCTATCAATCTGCCTGTGGTAAAATTTCTTTCCCAATATATCATTTTGCTCAAAGTTGCAGTTTCCAAGAAATTATCAACAACATTAAGTGAAAACTTACTATACTATACATTTTATTGTTATTTTAGAGTGTACTCATTCTATTTATATATATATTTAAAAAAGTGCATTTTAGAGTGTACTCATTCTATTTATATGTATGAACTTTATATAAAGTTAACTGTAATACAGACTCAGATACACATATACATACACATACATATATACATGTGTATGTTAACTATAACAGACTGAGATACACATATACGTATACATAGATATATACACATATGTGTATGTTAACTATAACAGACTCAGATACACATACACATATACAGATACACATACATGCGTACGTTAACTGTGACACAGATTCAGATACACATATGCATATACATACATATATATACACATGTGTATGTTAACTGTAACACAGACTCAGGCAGGTGCTACAGGAGGTATTCCGTAAGAAGGCATTGCTATGGTAGGAGATGGCAGTTCCACGAGTGTTACTGCTCCTGAAGACTTTCCATTGGAACAAGATATGGAGGTGGAAGGTAGTAATATTGATGATTCTGACTCTGCAGGCCTAGTCTCACATCTGTGCTTATGTCTTAGTTTAAACAAACAAACAAAAAAAACAATTTTACAAAGTAAAAAAAGAAAAATGAAAGTTTTAAAAATAGAAAAATATTAAAAGTATATTTATAAAGAAAAAATTTGTAGAGCTATGCAAGGTATTTGTATTTTAAGCTAAGTGTTATTTTAAAAGAATCAAAAGGTTTTTAAAAGTTAAAAAGTTATAAAGTAAAAAAGTTACAGCAAGCTAAAGGTCTATTACTGAAGAAAAAACAATTTTTTAAATAAATTTTAATTTAGCTTAAGTGTACAAGATTTATAAAGCCTACAGTGGTGCAGTAATGTCCTAGGCCTTCACATTCACTCACCACTCACTCACTGACTCACCCAGAGCAACTTCCAATCCTGCAAGCTCCATTCATGGTAAATGCCCTGTACAGGCGTACCATTTAAAAAATCTTTTATACTGTATTTTTACTGTACCTTTTCTGTTTTCTTTTTTATTTTTATTTCTTTTGAGACAGGGTTTCACTCTGTCACTCAGGCTGGAGTGCAGTGGCATGATTATGGCTCACTGCAGCCTCGACTTTCTAGGCTCAAGTGATCTTCCCACCTCAGCCTCCTGAGTAGCTGGGACTACAGGTGCATGCCACCATGTCCTGCTAATTTTTTTTATTTTTTGTAGAGATGGGGTTTTGCCATGTCACCCAGGCTGGTCTCAAACTCCCAGGCTCAAGCAATCTGCCCATCTCAGCTTCCAAAAGTGCAGGGTTACAGGCATGAGCCACAGGCCAGGCCTACTGTACCTTTTCCATTTTTAGATATGTTTAGATACACAAGTGTTTTCCACTGCGTTACAACTGCCTACAGCACTCAGTACAGTAATATGCTGTATAGGTTTGTCGCCTAGAAGCAATAGGGTATGCCATATAGCCTAGGTGTATAGTAGGCTATACCATCTAGGCTTGTATAAGTATACTCTATGATGTTCACACAACAATGAAATCACCTAATAACGTATTTTTCAGAATGTATTTCTGTCATTGATGCTTAACTGTAAATTTTTTTTTTACTGAATGACTCAAATCTAACCAGAGATTTTAAGGGAATGGAAGAATAATACTAATATAGCAAAAATTTAACCTCTCTTCCCATCAAAATTTGTTACCTGTGCATAATCTCACATAACCTAAAGGCTGACTATACAATGAGTCTTGCTTTTAGAATGATACTGCTTGCTTTTATGATGCCTATCAACTTTTTGATGACTGAGGAACCATGTCATAAAGAATATGACAACTCACAAAGACCTAAACAAAAATAGTTCTATAAATAGTAATAAAAATAATAAAACAGTATATTCTCACATCAAATGAAAATGATTCTGGAAATGTGATAAAAGCCTTTGAAACATACAGGATTTTTGAGTAATAAGAATATTTAATAATATAGAATACTAGAGAATAATATTAAGAATACTAAAGATATTTGACTGCCAAATATTTTGCATTACGCACAAAATATTTGTCAATTCCTATAGACATTATTTTAAAATAATTTCCAAACTTTATCTCAAAACTTTCCATCCCTATAGATAAAATATTCCTTGTAAAAAGGATTTAATGTCTCCAAATAGGAGGAATAGTCATCTTTATGAAGGAATGGTTATCTTCATACATATCGGGAAAAAGTTCATACAGTTTCCAATTAACAAGCCTCAAACATATGTCACTCACTGACATACAAAGCTAAAAAGCATTGTTGTCCAGAACAAACTGTTCTTCTAATTTGCTTTCATATTTTATCACTATTTTCAATAAAATACAATATTTAGTAATCCAATAATGTTACGCCTTTTCGAAAAATAAAATCTTTTTTTTTTCAAAAATGAAGTAGTTGAGACCACAAAAAAATAATAGGTTTGAAAATAGGTAAAACTTCTGGGATTTTTCCTGTTGCATCATTATTAAGGACTGAATTGTGCTCCCTCCAAAATTCATATGTTGAAGCTCTAACCTCCATACCTCAGAATGTGATTGTATTGGGGGCCTTTAAAGTGGTAGTTAAGGTTAAATTAGATTATAATAGGGGTCCCTAATCCAATAGTAGTGTCCTTATAAGAAGAGGAAGAGACATCAGGAGAGTGCACACAGAGGAAAGGCCACGTGCGGACACAGTGAGAAGGCAGCCATCTGCACACCGGAGAGAGAGGCCTCAGGAGAAACCAACACTGCTGGCACCTTGATCTTGGATTTGCAGCCTCCAGGACTGTGAGAAATAAATTTCTCTCGTTTAGGCTTGTAACACCCAGTCTGTGGTATTTTGTTAGGGCAGATGTAGCAAATTAATACAATTTGGGGTTGAGGCCTCAAAGATAAAAATAAAGGTTGTGATGGGCCCTCCCATTCTAAGCCAAAATGCTAGACGGGCTATATAGAACTTGTGAAGGTGAGACCAAACCCAGGTCTGGAGGCCTTGGGCCATCAATTGGCCACAGAGATATTTAAGCAGGAAATTCATGTGAAAATTTGAAGTTAAAAATTAGACAGCGAGGATTTCTTTAAAGGGAGAGAGCTGTTAGAGATATATAATGCTTCCCCTAACTTTCCCAAGCCAAGTGAGGGGCATCAGATAATCACTTGGGTAGTTTGAAGAGTCTAAAACTCCTTAAAGAGTCTAACGCAGACAGTCTGGCTACGGGTGCCCTGGGCGGCAGCACAAGAAGGCAGGGCTCTGCCTTGTGACTGACCTCCATTTCAAGAATGTGGCAAAGATGTGTTTCCTGAGGACCGCCTGGGTACTCTGAAGAAAGAAATAAGACATGAGTAATCTTCCAAAAGGATTGCCTGGAGGTCACCACAGGAGGCCAGGGGCTGCAGAGAAGTGAGAAGAGGCCAGGGCAGGAGGCATTGCTGATATGAGGGCCTAGGGGAGAGCTACAGACAGGTCTCCCTCCCTAGGGGATGGCAAGTAGAGATAGTTAGTGTCCTCTTCTGATACAACCACACTACTTTTAGCTAATATTTCAAAATGGTCTTTCATGAGGTAAAATATTTCTGGTACTTTCTTACTTGTCCTATCTGGCCTTCTCACTTACCCTGTTCTTTAGCAAATTACATGTGAGTAGGTACATCACTGCTGTAAAGGAATGTGGCTTTAGGTAACATCCTTAATCTGGCAACTAATACTTTTGGAAATATATTTTCTCCTTTCTTCTCTAATTTGGGAAAAATAATAAAAGAAATGGCTTTCAAGGGTACACCATTTTTCTTACAGCATTTAGGAAGGAGAACTCAATAATGACTATGCCTATAATTATTACACTTAAAAAGCGAGTTCCTGGCCAGGTGCAGTGGTTCACACCTGTAATCCCAGCACTTGGGGAAGCCGAGATGGGTGGATCACCTGAGGTCAGGAGTTTGAGACCAGCCTGGCCAACATGGTGAAACCCCAACTCTATTAAATATACGAAAATTAGCCGGGCATGGTCGTGGGCACCTGTAATCCCAGCTATTCGGGAGGCTGAGGTAGGAGAACTGCTTGAACCTGGGAAGCAAAAGTTTCAGTAAGCCAAGATCGTGCCACTGCACCACAGCCTGAGTGACAAGAATGAAACTATGTCTCAAAAAAACAAAAAAAAAAAGGGAATTCTTTCATATGAAACCACTTATTACTACAATCAAAAATCAATTTTTACTTCACAAAATGAACATAATTATTTTAGGACTCAATCTTGCTTATGAGAAAAAGCAAGTACACCAGTGAGTTTTCAGTTTCAAAGGTCACTAACCAAACACAATGTAATGAATATTTCCTTTATTTTTCTCTAATGTTTTCTAAATTATTCTTGATCTCACTTCTTTTATGGCAGTCATTAGTCAGAAAAAAACATGTCTTTGGCTCAAAAGCATCAGGGCTTTTCAATATTATGTTACTGAAGTAGTCACATGTTAATGGTATCAGAAATTTCATTTAATAATAGTATTTCATAATCAGTCTAGTATGATTTTACATAGGAGATGACGGCCTGGAGTAAAATAGCAAGGTGGTGGTTACAGAAAGACCACAAATATTTAAAAGCTTTTTAAATTTTAAATATTTAGTACATGAACTAAAAATAAAACTGGTGGTTTTTTCCGGCTTTTTGTTTTTTGTTTTTTGTTTTTTTTGTAGAGATGGGGGTCTTGCTTGGTTACCCACGGTGGTCTTCAACTCCTGGCTTCAAGCAATCTTTCTACCTCAGCCTCCCAAAGTGTTGGGATGATAGGTGTGAGCCACCGTGCCTGGCCTAATAAAGTTGTTTTCACTCCTAGAAAGATTTACTGTACTAACCCTGAAAGAGCTGAATGAATCGAGGCTGCAACGCCGACGTGATCAGACTGTCGGGCAGCTCCCTCAGAAAGAGCTTCAGCAGACTGGCTGCTGAGCAGACATCACCGTCCTTCCCGAGCTCCACGGACACTCCACTCTCGAACTTCAGTCGAAGTTGTTCCACCACCTTCACGTTACCATTCACCCGAAAAAGACCTTCTTGGGTGAGTCCTGGAAGAGCAAAGTAGACCCAGAAAATAAATAGGTTTCTCACAGACATGAAATGTAAAGAATGATAACAACACAAAACACAAAGAGAGAAATTTCAGCATATGATTCTCTCAACACTGTAATTATCAATCATTGCATGACTTTCACATTTTGTAAAACTTTCCTTAGAATAATAAATGTTCATATCCACTGCATATCAACTAAACAGATCATACAGGATTGGTATAAAACCCAGCCTTTAAAAATAAGGCTATGCCATATATAAACATAGAGCAAAACAGAGTACACAAAGAAATTTTTCATTTATGTAATCTTCTAGAGCACATAACAAAAACTTACTCAGGGCTCTAACAGCAGCTTAACACTTCATGAACAACTACTTTTTAAATGACATGTATTTAAGAAACTTTTAAACTCTATGTGATTACCTGTGTAATAGTTTAAGAAATAAGTGATGGTTTTTCAGTAATCACTAAATTCAAAATGTAAGACTCTAGGAAACTATAGAGTGGTGTAAGACAAGATCCTTGACTTCAGTCAGTTGACCGGGGATATCAGTGTCAGCTGAGGTCATCAGAGAAGGCCTCCTGGAGGAGGTAAACTTAACCTTTGGCTAAAGCAACACAGAGGGGCTGGAGCAGTTGACCTATGAAACCAATGAAGCTTGAGCTTCAGGGCCCCTCATTTTCTTGGGCCCTTTACAAGCTCTGTCCCTAATCCTGTATTCTTAGTATCACGTTCTTTTTCTTAAAGAAGTCTCAAAAAGTTTAGGCATCTGGACCCACAAAACCTTGATCTACCCCTGACAAAGATAAACAAAAATACAAATTGAGAAGTAGAGACAGGACAGCATAAAGAAAGGTAGGCAGAGGACAATGTGGGGTGCCTAGGTCAAAGAATGATGGGATAATAAAATGGAAAAACAGGAAGGGGTCTGTGACAAGTTAAACAGTGAAGGCTTTATTACTGGAGTACTAAGTGAGGAAAAAAACAAAATATAATAAGGGTTTTAGGAAGATTTAGCTAGCTAAGAAGTAGGGTATGGAGAGGGCTTGCCTTATGGAAACTATCTTCTATTTTAAGGTAGTAAACTGATATTATGGTGGAAAAGAAGTGAAAAATAAAGAGTAAAGATGATTTGGTAACTTGGTTCAAAAGGGAGAGGGAAAGAGTTGAAAGGTAACCTTAAGGTTTTGAAAAATAGGAATACAGGGAAAGAAAAAACACTGTAAAAGATAAGGTTGGGGGTAGGGATAGGAGAGTAGCTGGTTTAGGGCAGAAGATAATGATTTCCAGCTCAGTGTGCTGCACACCATGTAAGCGAGTGTGTCAGGCAGTAGAAGACTTCGAAAGTGTAAGAAACAATCTTTCTAAGAAAGAGCAGGCCAGGATTTAACTTGACATTCTTGAGAGTCTAATGGTGAATGTTAGCAAAAACATAATGACATTGAAGCCTATCAGGATTTTTTAGAGGGGAGGTAATAATTTATATCAGCCTTTGCTTCTTACCCTTACCTGGTAATTGCATTGCTTTTTAAAGCAAAAGAGGAAGCTAATTTCATTTTATTTTATAATCTGATAAAATGCTTTATAAGCTCTTTAATTCAACAAACATGTAATAAGTGCCTGACATTATGTTAGGTCATAAAAAAATCAATCGTGAGAAAAAAATTCAACACTATCATTACCCTCATGGACTTTGAAGTCTGGTAAGACGTTTGGGTTCTTCCACGTATACATATTATTTGGCTGTAAAGAAAATCAATATCAAAAGTTGATATGAATTTTAGCTCCAATTCTGAAAAAAACTGTGACACTAGGGATGATATTAAAAGTATTTAACAATGACTATGACCAGGGCACCACCTAAATAGAAGAGATATCAATTGGTCTGTGTGGCAGACAGCTTCTAAAATAGTTCCCATGATCCCCACTTCTCGTACCACACCCATTATAATCCCCTCTACTTGAGTGTGGGCCAGACCTAGTGACTTGCTTCTAACAACAGAATACAGCAAATGTGATGTCATGTCATATTTTGAGATTAAGTTATGAAAGACTGACAATCCATCATGCTTCTCTCTCTTTCTCTCTCTCTCCCCTTCTCTCTCCGTCTCTCTGATGTACTTTATTAGCTACTGGCCACGGGCAAAGATCTAAAGGTGGTATCTGGCCAACGACCAGTGAATAACTGAAAACCCTCAGGTCAACAGCTCACAAGTAACAGAATCCTGCCAACAACCACATGAATGAGCTTGGGAGGGAATTTTTCCCCTGTTGAGTCCTGATATGACTGAAGCCTTGGCTGACACCATGATCACAGCCTTGTAACTCTAAGACAGAGGACACAACTAAGATGTGTCTGGATTCCTGACCCACAGAAACTGTGAGATAATGATAAATACTATTGTTTTAATCTACTATGTTTTGGGGTAATCTGTTATGCAGCAAATGGATAACGAATATGATACGCCTTTCCCTTAAGTTGTGTGGAATATCAGGTTCTATTGGGAGACGCCAGCTTAATTGTTTAAAGCTTTCAAGGTCTGTTTCCTCTACTATACAAAAGTTTATCTTTAGCTTCAGAAACTTATCCAACAATCAAGCAGCTAGCATCCAACAGAAAGGCATTCCATCCTTGGTCAAAGCTGAAATCCTGAAAATTTGGAGTTTTGTTTCCTGTTCCTATGTTTACCCAGCTGCTTAACCTAACCTTGCCTTCTGTTTTTGGCCTACCAAATGCCCCTTAGATCTGATTTCACATGATGTTGTTTTTTTTTTTTTTTTTTTTTTTTTTGTCTTTTTAGCTTTGACCTTAGTCTTTCTTTTCCAACAAGGTTTTTATGAACCTTCCCCCAAATAAATATACTTCCAGCAATTTCAGAAAAAACTACCCAGCTCCAAGAACTGTCTGTGGTCCTCAAGCCTCCTGATCCCACTGGACCAAACTAGAAGACATGTAAGGTACAAGTAGGAGTGACTGAATTTAATGCTCCTTAATAATATTTTCCTATCTCTGTCCCATTTATCTGAACAACTCTTCCCTCAGGAATATCTCCCACCCACAACTCTTTTAGCACTAATTACCATAATTAGTGATGTTCAGCTAGGGGAAGTTTATAATCCTGGACATGAATATATCACATTCTGAGAAGAATAATCCATACAGTTTTTTAAGCCTCTTATGAGGCTAGAATACATCCAATACCCACAAGAGGCTTACCAGACCAAATAACCTTTAAATTTTCCCACCCTAAAATTTTAGAAAGTTATGACTATAACAAAAATATTCAGAAAAAGGGGATATTTGGATGACTTCATGAAGCAGAGTTACTCTCACACATTTCAAAGCTTCTATTATATTTGATTTTAGGCTATGTGCTAATTACTACAAAACAGCAACTTAATAGTGGTTTAGAAATGAAAAAATTATATAAGTAATGTCTACATCACTGAAAGATACTTTTCTGTACAGTTGAAATATTTCTTTCAAAATAGTATGACTATTAGAAACAGAATATGCCATTAGAAACAGAATATGCCAGAAGTCACAATTTGCCTAACAGCACACTTTGGCCAAGGAAGTAGTATGACAATAAGTAAGCACATTCTGACACCTGGTGGTGACTTGAAACTCTACACTGCGGGTTAAAACGGCATCACCTATAGTATCTTCATGCTAAACTAAGAGAAAGAAGCCGTTAACATTGTCAGTGAGAAAAAGAGTTTAAAGACTATATGCTTTATAAGTTATAATGTATATATTTTTAAATGAAACTATCCAAAATCTGCTTAAAGGGCTTGACATAGGTCTTTCTGTCTTAAAATTCCATTACAATAACAGTTTACTCTCATGCCAATTGTTAAACTGCATTTATGTGAAACAATAATAAAGCATAACCAAAATACCAACCTATGATTGAATTATATGACCAGTCACGTGACCCCTATAGTCCCATTCCCATGCCTGACACAGTGCTTACTGTATATCACAAGTGTACAGTAAATATTTGTTGACCTGAAAAAAACTGCAAAGTAATTAAATAAAACAAATTGAAGTATTATGCCCTCAAACTTTATACTACCCTTCAAACTTACACAGTTTCTTTGGTTTATTAACATGATAGTTTCAAATACAAGAAGGGGCTTATGTTTGTCTACATAGTAATTAACTACATAGCCTTTCAAAATACAGGTGCTAGGCCTACCTGAGTTTGCCCAGTCAAGATTCTGATTCAGTAGATATGAGGTGTGGGCAATGCATGTGTATTATGAAAGATTCCACTAGTGATTCTATTTCACATCCCTCATTAAGAACGACTGATTTAACTTAATAAAATGGTTAGTTTGCATTACCCAAATACACCCTGTTAAAGTATAACTAACAGTATGCTAAGGAGGGGCAGAATAAAATCAATCCCTAATTTAAATTTTGCCAAAATTTTCATATGTTGATGGTGTGAGTATAAACTGTTTCAACTCTGATAGAGTTCATTACAGATGCACATATCCTCTGACCACCCAGGAGTCCACTTCCAGGAAGGCAGTCTATGCACACACTTGCATGTGCTTGAAATGCCATATGTTAAAGGTTAACCATGGAATCATTGTTTGTAAACAATAGAAGACTGGAAACAATCCATGTGCCCATCAGTGTGGGACTGCTTAAAGACATGATATATACATATGGTAAAACAGTAGGCAGAGGAAAATAAAATAATTAAAAATGAGTAAAGCTCTTTATGCAATATAGAACAATCTCCAAAATACCTTGATATTTAAAAGATTCAGAACAGTATGCAATATTTGTGATAAAAGGGAAAAAAGAACACACAGACATATACTTATATATACACGAAACATCTTAAGAAGATACCAGAAACAGGTATAGTAATACTGTTTTAGAGAGAGAAAACAAAGGTCAGGAGACAGTTTGTAGAGAGAGACTTTTCACCATATACCCTCCTATATTTTGAACCACATAACTTTATTAACTATTCAAAAAAATTAAAATTTTTAAAAATTAAAAATGTAAACTATTTTTACACAATAAAAGTATGCTCAAGAGACTATTATCCAATTAATGTTGAGAGAAAGAACACTGATTATGCCAAAACCAAAATACTACTTTAGGTACCCATAGTTGGACATCTAAATGAATATACATCCCTACTTAACAGATTAAATGAATGATCTAGAAATCCATTTGTATCTAACTCAGTGGGATACACAGTCTTACTCAAAACCAAGTATGTAAATAAATCCTATTAAAGCTGGTTGTAACTCCCGGCTTCAACATTTTGTAGGCCAAACTTCCATCTTCCTGTCATGCTATGTGTAACACTGTTTGTGTTTCACTGTTTGAAGTATTTGAATAAATCCAGAGCTGTTTTCTAAGAATCTGGCCTTTTTGCAATTTATCTTCCTTTAATAAGGAGAAAAACTCTACAGAGTAAGAACAGAAACCTGGCTCTTAAGTTTTCAGAAAAAAAAATACAATTTTGTCATAAAGAACTGCCTGAAAGTGGGTAATTTATAAAAGAAAGACTCACAGTTCAGCATGGCTGGGGAGGCCTCAGGAAACTTACGAGGCAGAAAGCAAAGGGGAAGTGAGGCACCTTCTTCACAAGGTGGCAGGAAGGAGAAGAAGTGCTGAGCAAAGCGGGAAGAGCCCCTTATGAAAACATCAGATCCCTTGAGAACTCACTATCAGAGAACAGCCTGGGGGAAACCACCCCCATGATTCAATTACCTTCATCTGGTCTCTCCCTTGACACGTGGGGATTAGGGGATTATGATTCAAGATAAGATTTGGGTGGGAACACAAAGCCTAACCATATCAGTCACCTACATGCCTAGTAACCAGAGCAGATAGACGTTTTTTCAATTAACATCTAACCATCAGCAGAATGAATAATCTGCCATAGAGTCCCTGTCAAAAGTTGATACTATAGGAACATGTGATGAGCGCTTCTCACTCCTTTCCAATAAATGATTCTTATCAGAAAGGGTGAAGGGACTTGTAATCCTGGAAAGATATGGCCTGAAACAAATTACTCAAAATACAGTAGACCCACCTTACCCAAAGGGGATATGTTCCAAGACTGCCAATGGATGCCTGAAATATTGGATAGTACCAAACCCTATATATACTGTTTTTTTTTTTTCCTATACGTACATATCTATGATAAAGTTTAATTTAAAAAGTAGGCATAGTAAGAGATTAACAACAACAATAATAAAACAGAATAGAGCCAGTTGCAATGGCTCACATCTATAATCCAAGCTACTTAAGAGGCTGAGGTGGAAGGATTGTTTGAGGCCAGGAGTTCAAACCAACCTGGGCAACATGGCGAGACCTGCCTCTAAAAACATTTTTTTAATTAGCAGGTTACAGTGGCACATGCCTGTATAATAGCTACTCAGGAGGCTGTGGTGGGAAGATTATTTGAACAGTGGAATATGAGGCTGCAGTGAGTTATGATCACACCATGGCATTCCAGCCTGGGCAACAGAGCAAGACCCTGTCCCTTTAAAAAAAAAAAAAGGAATACAATAGAATAATTGGGAGAGATTTGTTCTTACCATAGATCTTAGCAACCTCAGCATACATTTTTTTTTCTTCCTTTATTAAGTCGAGAACTCACCTTTTCAATTAAAAGCCACTTCATGGCTTCTCTTCGGCATATCGAATTGCCAGCATTATTTTTCTTGCACTTTGGGGCCGTTATTAAGGAAAATAAGAGTCACCTGAACACAAGCACTGTGCTACCACAATGATCAATCTGCAAACTGAGGCCACTACTAAATGACTAACAGGCAGGTGGCATACACACATGGATACACTGGACAAGCAGACGATTAAGGTCCCAAGCGGCAGGATGGCTGGAGAGCTCATCATGCTACTCAGAAGGCTATACCATTTAAAACTGATGAATTGTTGGCCGGGTGCAGTGGGTCATGCCTGGAATCCCAGCACTTTGGGAGGCCGAGGCAGGCAGATCACCTGAGGTCAGGAGTTCAAGACCAGCCTGGCCAACATGGTGAAATACCATCTCTACTAATAATACAAAAAAAAAAAAAAGCTGGGTGTGCATCTGTAATCCCAGCTACTCAGGAGGATGAGGCAGGAGAATTGCTTGAACCCGGGAGGCAGAGGTTGCAGTGAGCCGAGATCATGCCACTGCACTCCAGCCTGGGCTACAAAAGCGAACCTCCGTCACAAAAACAAAAAACAGAAAAAAAAAAACCAAAACACTGATGAATTATTTATTTCTGGAATTTTCCAGTTAGCATTTTTGGACCATGATTGGTCACAGGTAAGAGTGAAACCCTGGAAAACCAAACCATGCATAACATCGGGGACTACTGTACAGAATATGTTTGAAGCCTCAAGTTCTACATTTAAAAATCCCTACATGGCTGAGTGTGGTGGCTCATGCCTATAATCCCAACACTTTGGGGGGCTGAGGTGGGAAAATTGTTTGAGTCCAGGAGTTCAGAACCAGCTGGGGCAACATTGGGAAAACCTGTCTCTACAAAAAATAAAAATAAAAATAAAATAAAAATAAAAATAAATCAGCCAGGTGTGGTGGAATACACCTGTAGTCCCAGCTACACACGAGGCTAAGAAAGGAAGATCACTTGAGCCCTACAGTATGAGATTACAGTGAGCTATGATCACATCACTGCATTCTGGCCTGGGTAACAGAGCAAGAACCTATCTCTTTTTTAAAAAAAAAAACAAAAAAAAAAAAGATGCAGGGAATATGGAAACATTCTCTCAAATGATCCAGGCTTATGATTTATTTTAAACAAAATCATCAAAAAGCTGTGGGCTACACAGCTCTCAGTAACTAAGATATAATTTATCTTTTTATTGTATAACGTACTATATTACTCTCCAAATGTTTTACATGCTTAACTTTATCTCTATAAAGATAAGAGAAACCAGCCCACTGCCACCCTGCATAATCAGCTTTACATCATAGTTTTTTGGTATCTCTTCTAAGCGTATGAGGATAGTCTAGGCATTGAATAAGTTCATGATTGACCTCAGGTGAAAGAGATACCCAAAAACATGTTTGATTACATTAAAAATTATTGACTATCAGTTAGAATTTAATTAATCTAGAAAACTGACTATTAATATTACAACAGAGTATTTTAGCATTTAAAACTAGGAAACATTCCAAACTAGAAATCTCTATAATTAAAGTGATTGCTCTATGGTTGATCAAATTAGTACTGTCAAGATAATGTTAAGCAGTAATGCCCTTTTAGTAATGCCTTTTTTAAAATGAAAAGTATATTACACAATAATTTAATATTCTAATGAAGGTGCTTTAGAGGACAGTCTAATCATACATTATGAAATAATTCACACAAATAATTTGTTTACGCAAGGGACTGTGAAAATGAAAAGACTAAAGCATGACTTAACTCACCATGCTGCGTCAAGTATTCCACTATATTCCACACTATTGCTGGAATGCCATTCTTGGTGAGCCCCTGCCGTTGAAGTTCTTGGAGACTGACTCCAAATAACTTCTGATAGGTAAAATCCTTCTGTTCATTTAATGGCACCGCCACTATCTTTTTCATGTCTTCTTTCAGCCGAACCGCTGCTTTACTTTGCTTAAAAGAACGTAAGAAAAAAGAGCAGTCGGTCATATTGACTACAGGAGGTTGCATGGCTACAACAGAAACACGTGAATTAAAATGTGTTTGAAGATGAATAGTTGTGGTCTTATTTTTACTTCAACTCAAACCAAAATCTCTAACATCTCTCACATGTTGCTCAGATATAATGGCTAAAAGGAATGAAAAGTAATGAGAAACCTAAAGCCACAACTGAAGTGTGTAGCTAAGAGAGGGAGCAATACACTGCCGTATCTAAGATATATTACTACAGTAACCAAGGGGTGTGACTCAGAAGTACCTGGTTAACAAGAAAATAAAACATTTATAAGAACAGTGAAACACCAGGCAGATCCTGAGATGTTTCTAAAGACAAAAATTTGTCTCGGTGTCATTTTAAGGTAGCTTTAATTTAAAGTGTCAGAAGAAAAAATTACAATGACCATTCTACATGTACAATGACCATTATAGTTCTCTGATTTGATTACATCTGTAAATATCTCAGTAATCTTTTGGAACATAGTATCAACTCAGTTCGTACTGAGGTTCAAAATGCCCTCAAATCTTTGAAACAACAACATTTAGGTAGTCGCAATTTTAAATTCTTAAACAAGATTGTATTATATATATTGTAAATAAAAATGCAACTTAGATTCAATTACCTCAAATTAATAACACAATGAAAAATTCATAAGAGTTTGTTTCTTCCTTGTGATAAAAATCTGCATCCAAATAAAGAGGAATTTTTTAAGCATGTGTCTTATATAAATTTTATTATATATGTTAATAAATCCAAACACTGAAAAGAGAGATGGAAAAATGCAAACAGTCTTATTTGGGGGACAGAGGCAGTAAAATTGGAGGAAACTTCCACTTTTTGAGAATGAATGTAGCAGCTAACCAATGTGGAAACACTATTAAATGACTTAAATCACCATCATTTAGTCACTAAAAAATCCTAAGAGTAGAAACATTACGTTCAATCTAGAGTTGAGGAAACAAAAACCAGAGTTAAGTAATTTGGTAAAAGTCAGAGAACTAGTAAGAGACAGTTTCATCTTGCTCTAGGTCTATGTTCCTCTCCTTAACTTATAATAGGTTTATGTAATGTTATAGTGCAGTTTATGTACAATTATAGTAACAAACTTATAAATGCTATATGTGACATAAGACAATTACAAGTTAATTCTACAATCTTTGAGTAGGATACTTGCAATCTCAATTTGATTTTAAATTGTATAATCTACAGAATGAGGTAAGCTTTTACTAGCATATCTGCATCTTTTATAGGTCATATTTGAAAGCCATATTTCTCTAGTGAAAATTCAGCCAATGTAAAGATACAATACAGATTTAGTATCTATTAACATTATAAATAAGTCATGGGATAGCCACTATGGAGTACTAGTAGTATGGATGAAACCCATGATCTCTGTTACCAAGGAAATTATGATTATGTTAATTAAGTCCAACTTGTAACAGTTAATAACTTCTTTTTCTTATAGGTTTATAAATGTATCAATCTCCTTCAACTGAATCCATGGGAAATTTCAACCAGGTATATCTGGTGAGCAAGCAGCTAAAAAATAACCAGTAATAACAAAACTTAAAAAAAAAAACTCGTGTAGCATTAAAAACAGCTGACAGTGAAGTTAAATTATATAAATTTTATTTTATTTTATCTGCTTATACAGAGAATACAGCATAGTGGTTTAGAGCATAGACTATGGAACAAGACTGGATCAAATCCCATTCTGACTTTTATTAGCGATAACCTTGCACAAGTCATATAACCTCTGTGTGCCTCAATTTCCTCATCTATAAAATGGGAATACCAAGAGTTTGCATGTCATAGAAATGTACAAGGTAGAAATGAGTTCATTTACGTAAAGGAGTAAGAACAGTGCCTGGCACACTCATTGAGTACTGACTGTCATAATCCTTTTCCTTCTCCTCTTTCTTCTAGGAATTATTATTCTGATTTCTTCTTAAAGTAATGGAAAGCTAATTAATCATTCCTGTAGTAAATATTTCTATAAAGGTTACTTTTTAAAAAGGGAAACATAGTCGAGACACGTTTGATTGCTGAATTCTGATGACCTAATTACTATTCTCCATACATCTCTAATTTTCTAAAATCTCTAAGTATGACCTTTGAACAATGAGGAGAAAATAACTTAACATGTACTTATCACAATTCCTTGATTTCTTCCTAGAAATTCACAAGGTTTCCTTAGAAATTCTGTCTATACGAGTTTAAAACCTTGAATTAGGGCTGGACATGGTGGCTGATGGCTATAATCCCAGCATTTTGGGAGGCTGAGGCGGGCAGATCATGAGTTCAGAAGATTGAGACCATCCTGGCCAACACGGTGAAACCCAGTCTCTACTAAAAATATAAAAAAAACCAAAAAACAAAAAAGTTAGCTGGGCATGGTGGCAGGCGCCTGTAGTCCCAGCTACTCAGGAGGCTGTTGCAGGAGAATGGCATGAGCCCAGGAGGAGGAGCTTGCAGTGAACCGAGATTGTAACACTGCACTCCAGCCTGCGCAACACAGCAAGACTCCATCTAAAAAAAAAAAAAAAAAGTTACTACTTAGGGTATTGAGTCTACCTTAACTGCTTAAACTTTTGTTTACATATAAATTCCCATGCATCACTTGAGTGTGAAGACTGGACTATCTGGAGCATATTCATGGGTGTGTGTGTGTGCGTGCGTGTGTGTGTGTATAAAAACAATATAGGTTTCCACATAACAAAGACAACCAGAGAACCTTAAAGTTTTACTGTTAGAACAATCCTTACGGGCCTTCTAATTCTTATACTATCGCCTTAGTGATAAGAAAATCAGGACCTAAAAAGTTGTGATGTTAGTCAAAAAGGGCTGTGTCTAGAGCCCAGATCTCCTGAGTTTTATACCAGTATACTTTTTATAATTAAGTACTGGTGACCTTGTTGATGGCTTTAATTTTGTTGGAAAATAGTTAGGATAGTTAACAAAATACACTGATTGTAGTAAATATTTATTGGTTTGGGGCACTTAAGTCTCCACTTGTCCTTTTTCCAAATAACAAATCCAGAGTGTGTTTTGGGGAATGACTGCAAGTTCACTGTGAACAGCTTTCATAACAATACTACTCAAAATGATTGCCTGGCCTCTAAGAAAGACGGGGCTCAGTCTCTCCACCAGGTGAATCAGATCCCTTCTCCTGCAAACCACTGAAGCTTGAGTGCCTTATCATAAAGACAGAAAATGGGTACTACTGTAGCGCTCTAACAAGATGGGCGATAGCATTTGCCACCTGCATCACTGCAGCTGATGTGGTCCTTCATCTACTCTTTCTGACATTGGTCATTCTTCCACTGTTCATTCCATTTGGTAAGCTGCTCCAGTAACTTTCCAGTAAAGTTTCTTTATGCTGAAATTATTCAGAACTCATTTCTGTTCTGTAACCACACACACACACACAGACATACTCTCTCTCTCTCTCTCTCTCTCGATCTAATTGATTAAAATACCTAGAAAGAAGATAAAATAATCAGAGAAAATAGAAAATTAAAGTTTTAAAAGATAAGAAAAAATCAAAATGATAATGACAGTGAACTTTTATGGAGTCTCTACTGTCTATGCCAGTGAGGGCTGTCAATACTTCAAACGGCTTCACTCATTAAATCCTATAAAAAAGAAACTCTAGGAAGGAAGATACTTTTGTGATTACCACTTCACAAAAGGCACAGAGAAGCCAGTAAAGTGCTCCAGTTCACATAAGCAACTGGTACAGCCAGGAGTCACACCAGGCAAGCAAGCTGAGTCCAGGGGCCACAGTATTAACACTGTCTCCGAATAGATAGCTGTGAGAATAAAAAACACATGCTGCGAAGATAAGTGCACTTGCTAGAAATGAGAACCAAATTCCATATTCTTATAGCAGAGAAAAATAGTTATTTACATGTTTCATGGTCTCTTTAATACAAAGTAAGGTATGTTCAGAAGCAACATCAATAATTGTGATATTAGGACCCGAATAAAGAAGGCTTTCATCAATACAGTAAACAGGACAAATTTCAGAAGCTTTGAGTTTTTATAATAGCTAACACATAGTAGGGACTGACTGTATCACAGACACAGTTGTACATGTTGTACATGTCTCTCAAAAATAAACAATGGGGAAAGGGCCCCCATTCAATAAATGGTGCTGGGAAAACTGGCTAACCATATGCAGAATAATGAAACTGGACCCCTACCTTTCACCATATACAAAAATTAACACAAAATGAATTAAAGACTTAAGTGTAAGACTTCAAACTATAAAAATTCTGGAAGAAATCCTAGGAAATATCCTTACGAACATCAGTCTAGGCAAATAATTTATGACCAAGTCTTCAAAAGCAAATGCAACAAAACCAAAATATAACTATTGGGACCTAATTAAACTAAAGAGCTTCTGCACAGCAAAAGAAACTATCAGCCTAGAGAATGGGGGGAAATATTTGCAAACTATGCATCCAAGAAAGGACTAACATCCAGAATCAATAAGGAATTTACACCAATCAACAAGAATAAAACAAATAACCCCATTAAAAACGAGCAGAGAACAAGAACAGACACTTCCTAAAAGAAGACATATAAGCAGCCAACAAACATGAAAAGATGCTCAACATCACTCATCATTAGAGAAACACAAATCAAAACCACAGTGAGATCTCATCTCATACCAGTCAGAATGGCTATAATTAAAAGTCAAAAAACAACACATGTTGTCAGGGTTGCAGAGAAAAGGGTACATTTATTCGCTGTTGATAAGAATGTAAATTAGTTTATCCCCTGTGAAAAGCAGTTTAGAGATTTCTCAAAGAACTAAAACTAGAACTACCATTTAACCCAGCGATCCTATTACTGGGTAATATACATCAAAGGAAAATAAATCGGCTGGGCACAGTGGCTCATGCTTGTAATCTCAACACTTTGGGAGACCAAGGCAGGTGGATCACCTGAG